GGAGAGAGGAAGACTTGTTTGAAAGTCCAGCCTGGGTAACAGCCGTGACTTTCTCTGTAGATACAGTAGAAAGCCTGAATAAAGAAACTAAATGCGACCATCTAAGGACTGGTAAGCTGCATTATGATGTAAAAAATAACCCTCAAAGAAAAATCTTAATTTTAAAATAAAGCCTTCACATGCAGACTAACATTGCCGTTCAACTGGGTCAAGTTTGTGAATGCCTAAGCTGTCCTCTTCACTAAGGGTATCTATTTTTTTTTTTTTTTTTTTTAAATGTGGTTTTCCTTGTTTGAGTACATGCGTGCCCATCACTCCACCCACAGAATTGTAGTTTTTACCTTTTGCCGATACTATGGCTATATGTAAACAATATGATTCCCTGGTTTGGTTCACTTGCATGAGATTGGTGGTGCATACACATTCTAGCGCTCTAAGTTGGATGAAGACTTCTGGGATGTATGATGTTCATACCCCTGAAGTCTGCCAGCAGTGCTGTTTTGTCATGCCCAAATAAGTGAGAAATGGGGCTGGGGGTGGTATTTACAAAACAAACATTTTAATTTGTTAAACTTATGCTGAAAACCTTAATATTATCTTAGCTTGTAAAAGTGAGTTGGCATGGAGAGGAGAAGCCTTCCTGATGGACAGTGCCAGTACATGCACCAGGTATTCCACTTTTGTTGCAAGTGAAAATTGTCTTCGTTTTGTCATTGCTATTTAGTATTCACACATTTTTGGTTGTGTGAAGACAGTCTTTTGGTTTAGGTCCAAGTTTTATTTTTACAGTGTCCCAATTATGAGTGGAGTGTAACTAGATTACATATCCAGTTGTCAGGTCACTTTGGGATTTATACAACCCCAGTTCTAAAAAAAAAAGTAGAGATGCTGTGTGAAATCTACATAAAATGCAATGATTTTTGGAAGTGAGCCCATGCAGTTATGTCCATCACAGAATCGTGCTGTTTTTAATGCAGTGTCCCCTGAGGGCCCGAGGATCATGGGCATCCAATATTGCGTTTCAGCCTGGACCCTTGCTCACAGAGATTTCTCCAGATTCTTGGAATCTTTTGATGATCTAGAGGAGAATGGAGGGTCTGATCGGGTCCACCTGAAAAACTGACAGGCAGACCCGATCAGTCCACTCATGTGAAAGGGACCTTTAAAAAGAATATTTTATTGCAGACGCTACATCTAAGAATTGATGAGCTGCGACATATTACATTTTTGGTTTTGGGGTTTAATACATCTTTGCAACACATGCAGATTTTTCCATGGCTTGATTCTTTAAAACCACATCTGGTACAGTAATGTACTAGTTCTCCCAGAAACCCAGTATGTTCCTAACTTTATGTAGATATAGTGGCTCATGCGCTGTACTGTATCTATGGAGGAAGTCAGAGGAGTGTTGTTTGGACAGGAGGTTTGGCTAGGGTTTAATTACGGAACTCCTCCCCTTTTCCAAATATATAACATGTGGGAGGTGTTCTGTAGTTCAGAGAGTTGAGAACACTATGAACCAACAATAGAGGCAACCATACAAGAGTCCACAAGATTGGCATGACCAAGTCATTTTTGCACTTCTCAAAGACGCTCAATGGTGCTGTATTATTTTACAGACCGAAAGGGAGCACATAAGAGTTCATTGTTAGGCCCCATTCACATCTGGTGTTTTGGTATCGCAGCAATTCTGCCCATGATATCAAATCACACTGCAATCGTGGCAAAACGCACTATGTGTGTTTTGGGTGCCATTTATTTTTAGTGGCAGCTAAACGCAGTGTGGTTCAAAGAAGCAGAGCAGGCTTCTTTTGAGTGACCAGCTTCGCTTGATAATCGTGACTGAACCGCACTGTTTAGGTGCCATTAAAAATTATTTTTAAAACCGCAACATTTCATATTTCCATTCTGTGTAAGGCCTTGTTACATTTGTGGATGGGGGGCAGTAAAAACACACGGTTGAGGTTTTACTGCCTCCCAACAACTTTTCCTTCCTTTTTGGTGGTAGCACCACCCTCATCACCTACCTCTAATGCAGAGGGATAGCGTAGGTAAGAATATGGATAATATGAAATATGATTTATGAAAATGGTAATGGAGATTTGCAAGTATACATTCATGCACCATTTTGTTCTTGCACATAAAGAGTGTTTCCATAAAAAAACATACAGCATATACTATACTTTTAATTCTGCCTGTAAGGCTCTGCTTTAAAGAGGAACTTTAACTTTTATCTTAAAAATTACAACAAAGGCCAAAGGCACTTCTAGAAATGTTTGTCAATCTACAAACCTATTTCTAGATAATTGAAGGCTTCCTATTCTTTGCATACTTCATTTGTCCTTTCCTTCCCATTCTTCTCATAGTAGGCATTTTCACTGTGGGTAGATTTAAAATCTGCCTCTTGGAACGTGTGACAATACACCCCATCTTAGGGTGAAGACGCTGATGATGTAGGCCTCCCAGAGTGCATTTGTGAGGCTTTGGCTGCATCACCAATGCCTCACTCAACCAGGAAGTGGAAAAGCAATAACGAAGTAAAAGCAAAAAAATATTTAATGAATGTAAGATGATTTCATATCCGCATGCAAAACTTCATGCTGATGTGACTTTTTTTTTTTTTTTTTTTTTTAAGTGATGGAGAAAGGTCCACTTTAAGATTTTTGTTATGATATTGCTTGCAAATAAAGTCTGCTGCTGTGGCATAACACATGCCTTAGTAAGAGAAATTGAAACCAAATGAACGTCTAAACAGATGGACTTCAGCTTTAGGTTCATAGGTGGTTGTGGGAAGTGTGACAATGTGAAGCAAAGTGCCTGAGAATGCTGAAGAGCCAATCGATGATGAAAAGAAGATCTGTGTAGTAGTTGGAAGCCATTTCCCCCCCAAGTACTGTGTGCTAAATTTTTCCCAATATCTTGCCAAGTTCCTAGAGGGAAACACACAACCTTTAAGCTCACCATACACATTACAGCAGTGGTTCTCAACCTTCCTAATGCCGTGACCCTTTAATACAGTTCCTCATGTTGTGGTGACCCCCAACCATAAAATTATTTACCCAGTAATTATAATTCATGAGTGTCGTTTTACCTCCAATACTGCTGCTTTCAACACAGCAGCTGCTTTCTACACAGTAGCTGCTCTTTACACATCAGAAATATGTGTTTTTCTGATGGTTTTAGGGGACCCCTGTGAAAGGGTCGTTCGACCCCCAGGTTGAGAACCACTGCATTACAGCCTTCCCGTTTGGACAGATTAGTCAGGTCCTCCTGTTACATAGCTTTAATAAATCTAAGATTGTACAAAGATGTTTTGGTATGGTCAGGTTGTATTGTGTTTGACTCCTGGGTTGTATAGATACCAGAATTCAATATGCTGAATTATTAAAGGATTAGGGAATTATGGTCCTAAAAAGTTCCCCTTTCTTACAGGGCAAATTTTGCTAAACTATTAAACACAGGTTGGTGGAACAAAAGGGATGTAGTGTAGTAATCAAGGTTTGTATAACAGAGTTCTGCTGGTTCCCTAGCTTCTATGATACTCTGTGAGGTATAAACCATTGCATTTACACTGATGAGCCATATAACCACTGACTGGTAAAGTTAATAACATTGATTATCTTGTTACAGTGACATTTGAAATTGGGTGGGATATATTAGGCAGCAAGTGAACATGTTATCCATTTTATAGGATTTCAACACATCAAATTCAAGGACAAGTGTAAGGATTTGAGCAACTTTGACAAGGGCCACATTGTAATGGCTAGACGACGGGGTCAGAGCAATTTTAATACTACAGCGCTTGTGGAATGTTCCCAGACGGCAATGGTCAGAACCTACCAAAATTTCTCCAAGGAAGGAAAACTGTGACATGGTCATGGGTGGCCAAGGCTCTTTGATGCATGAGCAGCGAAGGCTGGCCTATGTAGTCTGATCCAGTAGAAAAGCTACTTCATCTCAAATTGTTTACAGAAGTTAACGCTGGTTCTGATAAGTGTAGGAACACAGTGTATCATGGCTTGTTATCAGTGGGGCTGTGCAGCCGTAGACCATTTAGGATACCCATGATGACCCGTGTCAGCTAAAAGTACCTACAGTGGCCACGTGAGCATCTGAACTGGACCACAGAGCAACTGAAAAAGGCGACCTGGCCTGATGAATTAAAAAATGGTTCGAGGAACGCAACGTGTGAGGTGTTGACTTGGGCTCCAAATTCTTCAGATCTCAATCAAGTCGCGCATCTGTGGGGTGTGCTAAAAAAAAATGTCCTATCCATGGTGACCCTAACTTTAAAGAGGTTGTAAAGGCTGAAGGTTTTTTACCTTCATGCATTTTACGCATGAAGGTAAATAATCTTGTATGCAGCAGTACCCCCAGCCCCCTCAATACTTACCTGAGCCTTGTCTCGATCCAGTGATGTGAATGACTTGGCTGACCCAGGTTTCTGCCGCCTCATTGGCTGAGGCAGCAAGCGGGAGCCATTGGCTCCTGCTGCTGTCAATCACTGCCAGTCAGTCAATGAGGAGAGGGGGCGGGGCCAAGCCGCGGCTCCGTGTGTGAATGAACACGGAGCAGCGGGTGCCCCCATAGCAAGCTGCTTGTTGTGGGGGCACCCGACAGACAGGAAGAGCCAGGAGAGCCTGTGGGGGACCCGAGAAAGAGGAGGATCCAGGCTGCTCTGTGCAAAATCACTGCACTCTCTGCTGCTGACGGCTTGGTACCAGTTAGAACAACATACCTTCAGAGTTCTAGTGGAGTCCATGCCTGAACAGGCTATGGTGGGTGGTCATAATCGTATAGCTGATGGATCCAGGCAGCTCTAGGTTCTTCGCTTTTAATATTTACTGTCAAATTAGTGGCCACCGGTGATTCCGGTGAAGTATGAGCAATCATACTTGTCTAAAGGGAATTGCATATATATAACTGTTTTGTTTCTGAAGGCTTTATTATTGCTGTATATATGGAAAATAAAACTTATGTCTGAACCATCCTTATTGCAGGCAAAATGGCAAAAAGAGTAGCTGACAAGGAGCTGACTGACCGCAATTGGGATCAAGAGGACGAGGCAGAGGAAGTGAGTGAGGTTTTTACATTATTATTATTATTATTATTATACAGGACTTGTATAGCGCCGACAGTTTGCTCAGCGCTTTTACATTATGGTGGGAGACAGTACAGTAACAATACAGTTCAATACAGGGATTGGAGGGCCCTGCTCCTTGGAGCTTACAATCTAGGAGGGAGGGGATAGTGGTACAAGAGGAAATTAGCTGTGGGGGATGGAGTGGTAGGAAGAGTAGGGGATTCCAGTATTAGCTGGGGTCGGGGTAGGCTTCCCTGAAGAGATGGGTTTTCAGAGTGCGCCTAAAAGTGAGCAGAGTAGGTGATAGCCTGATAGATTGGGGTAGGGAGTTCCAGAGGATGGGTGAAGCCCTTGAGAAATCCTGAAGACGAGATTGGAGGAGGAGACAAGGGAGCTAGAGAGCAGGAGGTCTTGCAAGGAGTGGAGAGTACGGTTTGGGTGGTATTTAGAGACAAAGTCGGCGATGTAATTAGGGGCAGTGTTATGAACGGCTTTATACGTCAGCGTTAGTGTTTTGAATTTTAACCGCTGGGCAATTGGAAGCCAGTGGAGGGATTGGCAGAGAGAGGTGGCAGATACAGAGTGGTTAGGTAAGGTGAATGAGTCTGGCAGCAGCATTCATGATGGACTGGAGTGGGGATAGCCTGCGATGAGGTAGACCAGTGAGGAGGGAGTTACAGTAGTCAAGGCGTGATATAATAAGGGAGTGGATGAATTGCTTAGTGGTTTCCAAGGTTAGGAACGGTCGTATCTTGGAGGCCGGGGGGAATACTAGAAGCTCCATTTTGGAAAGGTTGAGTTTGAGGAAGTGGAGTGACATCCAGTCCGATATGTCACTTAGTAGGCTGGTGATGCGATTGGAGACTGAGGGGGTGAGGTGAGGGGTAGAGAGATAGATTTGTGTGTCGTCGGCATAGAGATGGTAGTTGAAGCCGTGGGAGTTTATTAATTGGCCAAGGGAGGAGGTGTAGATGGAGAAGAGGAGAGGTCCAAGGACAGAACCTTGAGGGACCCCAACAGAGAGAGGGAGTGAAGGGGAGGTGGCAGCGTTATAAGAAACACTGAAGGAGCGCTGCGATAGGTAGGAGGAGAACCAGGAGAAAGCGGAGTCTCTGAGGCCAAGAGAGTGTATTTTGTTGAGGGGTGGTCAACTGTGTCAAAAGCCGGAGAGAGGTCAAGTAATAGGAGTATAGTATAGTGGCCATTGGTTTTGGCGGTTAGTAGGTCATTGGTGAGTTTGAATAGGGCAGTTTCGGTGGAGTGTAGGGGGCGGAAGCCGGACTGTAAAGGGCTGAGAAGGTTGTTGTCAGTGAGATGGGAGCTCAGGCGATTGTAGACTTAAGCGTTCTAGGAGTTTAGAGGTAATTGGCAGTAGGAGATGGGTCTTAGGTTGTTCAGGTCAGTGGGGTCCAGGGAGGGTTTTTTGAGTATGGGAATGATGTGCGTGTGCTTTAGAGGGGAGGGGAAGGTACCGGTGGAGAGGGAAAGATTGAAGATGTGAGTGAGGGAGCATAGGATGGAAGAGGAGGGGGACCGCAGGAGTTGAGGGGACAGGGTCCAAGGGGCAGGTGGTGAGGCGGGCTTCGGAGAAAATCTTGGTGACCTCTTCGGTGGTAGTGAGGTCAAGGGAGCAAAGTGTTGAGGGGGTTATTGTGTGAGGAGTGCTAAGCGGGGTGGGTGTCTGAGCAGTGGTGAAGTCCCTACGAATTGCGTCAATCTTGTTTTTTAAGTGGTTGGCAATCTCGTGGGCGGTGAGTGAGGTACTGGGTGGAGGTGGAGAAAGTAAAGAGTTAAAAGTGGAGAAGAACTGGCAAGGACTGGAGCAGAAGGTATTAATGAGGGTAATAAAGTAGGCTTGTTTGGTAGCGTGAAGGGAGGAAGTGTACGTTAAGGCAGATTTATAGCGGGTGAACGCTTGTTGAGATTTGGTTTTACGCCATAGTCACTCCAGTGCACGACATGGGGATGGTTGTGTTGTTGGGCTCTTCCTTGCTTTTGTTCTTCATCAACATTTGAGGATCTTTGTGAAAGAGAGCTTCCCCGTTCCAGGCAGAGTATCCATTCTAGAGTGGGGGGGATCTCAATTGCCTGTAAAGTGGAACTGAACTCAAAAAAGTGAAGGCTTGTGTTCTAGAGAAACTAGAAAAGTTAATGTGTCTATTCAGTGCCCTGAAAGGTGTACTTTGTCTGGAAATCCTTGTTTAAAAATAACAGCACATTCTGGCATGTGAGGGAGCATATGCATTCCTGTGCCTACAAACCTCAGTCGTGAATCTTTAGTGTAAGATCCAAGGCACTGCTGCTTCTAGTCTTAGCAGATTTGGAGTGAAATTTGTCACTACTGTTTTGCCAACAGTTCTGTTTGCTAGATACTCTGACATGAGGACGCAAAGCTCTGCCTCTAACAGGAGCGCCACCTCCACACAGACACCATACCAAACAAGGCATAGTAAGCCATTAATGGGGAAAATATTTGCTGCAGGGAAATCACAGGCAATACTGGTGACTAATCATTTGTTCTGTCTGTCTTTTTGGAAAAAAACTTCAAGAGTTCAGTTCCTCTTTTATATTAGACGGTTTTCTTTCAGTAGACTTTATTCCTGTGGTCCTTAGCTAAACCTGTTTTGTATTGGCTTGGACAAATCAAGGGCGTATTCAGGAGCCTTTTTTTATAGAGAATTTCCATCTTGGCTCTTGAGGGTTTGTCCAGCCATATAAACTGTTTTACATGACACCTGCTTACCTCCACAAAATGTTGTTTTTTTTTTTTTTTTTCCTTCATTTTACTGTATAGGCAGGAACGTTCTCTGTAGCAAGTAACGATGTTCTGAAGCACAGGAAATTAAGAAAGCAAAGAGAAGAAACCTTGGAAGTGATGTGAGTTTCAGTATTTTTTTTTTTTTTTTTTCTTTTCATGGATGTGGACACACATTTGACCTCCTATTCCCAACCACAGCAATTAATATACAGTTGGACTCTTTGTGGCTATAATAATTATTATTATTATACAGGATTTATATAGCACCAACAGTTTGCTCAGCGCTTTACAATATCACAGGAGACAATACAGTTCAATACAAGAGGGTTACGAGGGCCCTGCTCCTTGGAGCTTACAATCTTCGAGGCTCTACTCTTCTAGGAATGCTTTCCAAAAGCTGGCTTTGTGTGCAGGGACACAGTCATGCTGAAACAGAAAATGACCTTCCCCAAACTGTTGTCACAAGCTTGTTAAGCGCACAATTGTCCAGTTTTTGTATACTGTAGCATTAACACTAACCTTTACTGGAAATGCCTGAACTCAGATTTGGAGGGATTAGGTGTCCTTTTATCTTGCAGCAGTAAATGACCGCTGCTTAGTTCTCTGGCATTCTCAGAGGAAAGGGTTCTCCTCTGAAAGCCTTTTTATGAAGTGGTGAAGATCGCTTCTCTGAATGAAGAGCGAAGCGATCTGCGAACACTGGAAAACGGCTGCTGTTACTATAATCTCGAGAGATTACAGTAAGAGATCAGTCAAACACCGTTTACTAATCAGTGGTAAATTACCGCTGCTTTATTTGCGGTTCCGCCGATTCTCCACCTCTGGGCTGGAGAATCTAGAGGGAGAACACAGATCGCCAATGAAGGGCTGACATCGCTCCTTCATTTACTGACCATCTGTGTGCTGAGATGATCAGTGAAGAACATGTTCTCCACTGATCATCTGTTTCCTAAACCACTAATGATCTGAGATCAGCAACGATCCTTAGGATCGCCGCTGATCTCTGTTTCATAAAAGGACACCTTAGTCATATAATGTATCTGTCCTTATTCACTCTTCTCTCACAGGCTGCCTCAGCACTGCACAGTTTGCCACTGGTATGAACAAACCCACAATGGGTTTTATTTTAAAAATCATTGATTTATAAGCAAAAGATCATCCAAAACAGAGGGGCTGTCTTCACCAGCATATTGAAAAAATGCTAGTTGCCTGCCTGTCATTGATTTTAGCACTTTGAGTCACTAATGAGAAGCAGGCCTGCAGCCATTGATGTCAGATTTCTTGATATGTAGCATGGAAGAATTCTGCATTATCTTTTGGTGATTTTTGCAGTCAGACACCATGCTAGAGTAAACTTCATTTGTGCTTTTTCATGGCTTGCTGTTTAGCAGCAGGTCTGCACATTTGAGTACAGTCTTCCTTTTTATATGTTGACTATGCATCCCTTGTTTCAGTCCCTCTTCTTCTTCTTCTTTTTTTTTTTTTTTTTTTATTGATGGATGGATACTTTAAAAATAAAATATGCATGCCTGGTATGTAATAACAACCTATGTATTTTTCTTAAGAGGTTGAAAGTGTAACGGATAAGGCAAAAAATCAAATAATATTACATTTCTACAATACATGAATTTGTTTTATCCCTTTTTTTAAAGACCCTACAAGTGCAGAAAAATACTTGTTGATCCTCTAGAAATGCAATCAGTTTCTAAGTCTTATTGTGGGCTGGCAAAACCCAGCATTCTTGTGGACTAAGTTGTCTCAGCCATGCCCAGTTTTCGTTCGCTAAACTACTTAATCACTCCCAGTCTTAGATCACTACAACACAAAGGCTAATCATTCTGTAGTCCAAGATCAGAACTAAGATGGCTAAATAGTCTTTTTGAGTTAACACAGGAAGAGGGTAGACTTTAAGGCTCCATGGACACATTTATTTTTTTTTTTTTTTTAGCTCCTAGTAGCTATTAGCATTTTTTTCTGCTACTAAAAACTAATAGTGTTATCCTATGCTTCCTCACACACATCTTTAATCTTTCCCTCTCTACTGGCACATTCCCCTCCCCTTTAAAACACGCGCACATCACTCCCATACTTAAAAAAAAACCCTCCCTGGATCCCGCCGACCTGAACAACCTTAGACCCATCTCCCTGCTGCCATTTACATTCAAACTCCTAGAGCGCTTAGTCTATAATCGCCTGAGTTCCCACCTCGCCGACCTGAACAACCTCCTTGATCCCCTGCAATTCGGCTTCCGCCCCATACACTCCACCGAAACTGCCCTACTCAAACTTACCAACGACCTGCTAATGGCCACTATTCAGTGCTCCTACTCCTCGACCCTTCTGCGGCTTTCAACACGGTTGACCACCCCCTCCTCCTCAAAAAACTACACTCTCTTGGCCTCAGAGACTCCGCTCTCTGCCTATCTATCACAGCGCTCCTTCAGTGTTACCTATAACGCTGCCACCTCCTCTCCACTCCCCCTCTCTGTTGGGGTCCCTCAAGGTTCTGTCCTCGGGCCCCTTCTCTTCTCCATCTACACCTCCTCCCTTGGCCAATTGATACTCTCACTGCTTCAACTACCATCTCTATGGCGACGACACGCAAATCTATCTCTCTACCTCTCACCTCACCCCTTCAGTCTCCGCCCGTATCACAAGCCTACCGAGCGACTTATCGGATTGGATGTCATTCCACTTCCTCAAACTAAATCTTTCCAAAACTGAGCTCATAGTTTTTCCCCCCAAGCCCCCCCCCCCCCCCCCGACTTCTCCATCAAGACCAACAACGCCATCAGTCCCTCCCCTCAAGCCAGAGTACTAGGTGTCATTCTAGACTCCAATCTGTCCTTCCAGCCCCAGGTCCATTCGCTGACAAACTCATGTAGACTTCACCTCCGCAACATCTCCAAAATACGTCCGTTCCTAACCCCGAAAACCACTAAGCAACTCATTCACTCCCTCATTATCTCACGCCTCGACTACTGTAACTCCCTCCTCATCGGCTTACCTCATCGCAGGCTATCCCCGCTTCAATCTATCTTGAATGCTGCGGCCAGACTCATCCACCTTACTAACCGCTCCGTATCCACCACCCACCCCCCCCCCCCCCCCCCCTCTCTGCCAATCCCTCCACTGGCTTCCGATTGCCCAACGGATAAAATTCAAAATACTAACATTGACGTATAAAGCTGTTCATAATACTGCCCCAAATTACATCACCTATCTGGTATCAAAATACCACCCAAAACGTACTTTCCGCTAATCACAAGACCTCCTACTCTCTAGTTCCCTGGTCTCCTCCTCCCATGCCCGTCTCTAGGACTTCTCCAGGGACTTCCCCATCCTCTGGAACTCCCTACTCCAATCCATCAGACTATCACCTACTCTCCTCACCTTTTAGGCTCACGCTGAAAACCCTATCTCTTCAGGGAAGCCTACCCCGCCCTCAGCTAAATACTGACCTCCTCCACTCTTCCTACCACTCCATCCCCCACTGCTATTTCCTCCTGTACCACTATCCCCTCCCTCCTAGATTGTAAGCTCCAAGGAGCAGGGCCCTCGAACCCCTCGTGTATTGTATTGTTACTGTACTGTCTCGTGTACTGTCTCCCATTATGTTTTTATAATGTACAGCGCTGAGCAAACTGTTGGCGCTATATAAATCCTGTATAATATTAATCCTATGTGTCCGTGCACACTATTTTATGCTAGAATTGGTTTTTGCGGAGGAGTTGAACACTCCTAAATGCTACTAAATCACTCCTAGCAGCATTTTTTCTAGCATTTTTTTTTTTCTGTTAAACGCAACTACAAGCCGGCACAAAACTGCTATCAGCGTTTTTCATCCAATTTTTTTTTTTTTGGGGGGGGGGGGGGGGGGGGCTTATAAAACACTGGTGTGCATGGAGCCTAATACTTTTGCCTATCAAGGTACATTTATAAATTTCATGGTATTCAAGGTGTTAAAACAAGGAGCAGCCCTGAGCTTGGTGATTTTACTTTACTTTACTTTTCTTTTCAGCCAGCAATTCACTTTTACGTAAAAGTGATCTCTGGATATCTTTTCTTTGGGAGGCACAGGTGATGAGTGCACTCCAAACCATTGCAGGAGTGCATTCTCACAAAGTTTTGAGCATCAGTCACTTACCTCTCTGTCCCTCTCCTCTTTTGAAGCTCACTGTATTAGTCTATTCTTTCCAGTTTCTTTGAGAATTGCTGTGATCTATCTGCCTCCTGGACCAGTATGGCCTGAGAGAGAGAGAGAGAGAGAGAGTTCAGAGGAGGCCACCAAGGGAGAGGGCAGCAGGAGAGGAAAAGTCAGATTTGTGAAGCCAGGTTTCAGTAATTGCAAGTAGGTTAAAGGAATTTGTGATAAAAAGGTCATGGACAGAGTTTTACATACAGAGTGGGCATTCCAAAGGGCACTGGAAAAGGGGAGGCTGGTTTTAGGAAGAAGAGGAACAGTAACCAGATTGTGGCCACTATTAGAGGATAGGGGTTGCCTGTTATGTTGGTCAAAGGAAAATGATTGTGGCCCAGGATTTGGGGTAATGTCTCCAGATGTTTGAAGCAGAAGGGTGAGAGGTAATATGGGAGTATGACCTATATGGAGTGTCCTGGAGGTTTTATTAGTATGTGGGTTCAGAAATGGCAGGAGTTGATGAGTGCAAAAATTAGGTGAAAACAGGAGTGAGGGTGAATATATAAGCTGTGGGGTGGAGAGAATAGTGAAGGAAAGAGTTTGAGGAGATAGGATACAACTGTTAGAAAAAGTAGGGAGTGAATGTTGGTGATGAGCAGGGATGTTCAATTCATATCGCCGGATGCCCAGGACATCTGGTTCCGGGCGCTGAGCAGGTAGTTGTTTTTTTTTTTTTTTTTTTTTGTTACCTTTAGATCCTGCTGCGGGCAAGTAGCAGGGTTCATCTGTCAGGTGGAAGCATTCATTATAGGCGTTTGTGGTGCGGTTTTAACGCTTGGCAAACTCCTCAAAAACGCACATAGGGTATTTGAGGAGCATTAAAAACTCTTCCCAAAAGCCTGTCTAATGCCTGTCAAACGCTATAGGGGCGTTTGCCAAGAGTTGGAAAATAGTCAAGTGTGAACGAGCCCTTAGGTTTGACATGTTGGATATCTATTTACTCGATGCAACCTCATTTTTTTTTATATTTTACAAAAATAAACTGGTTAATTTATTGCTTTTTGTGTCCTAAAATTAACGTAAGTGTATTTGTTACTGAAATTTTGTGATTTCACCTTTGTGAAAATATCGTGTGACATAAAAAATTGGAACTACCACTATTTTATTCTCTAGAGTTTCTGATTTCAGAAAATTTATAGTGTTTTGCATAATCTTCATGCAAAAACAGCTCTGGCAGCGAAAGGGATAAAGGATAAGCCTGACACTCCCCTTTCCTGAGGAGCACTCAATCGGTGCCCATTACACTGCAAAGTCTCTCCCCTCCCTGCTAGTCCCCGGGTGCGGTGCTGGAGGCAGGGAGGTGAGGAGGAGATAAACAGCGCAATGTTAAAAATATTAAACGATTAATAAAGCCATAAAGCCCCTTTTTGTTTTTAAAAGCCCCAGACATTACTTAAAGCAGATTTAAATATGGTTTTGGTTAAAATTTATTTTTTATTATCAGGACAAGTAGATTGTCATGAGGGACAAGTAGATTGGGGAACCGATTTAGTCCATGGACAAGTAGTTTTTTAAAAAATTTCCACACCCCTGGGTGAGGTTAAGAAGCAGACTGGGTAAAAGATGAAAAACCTGGTTGGGGAAATAGGTTACCTGCAGTCTGTTTAATGTTTTGCAGTTGTCTGCTGTAGATTCTCTCCGTGCATTCGCTGAAGTGCAATACTTTATCCAAGATGATAGATGCCAATGCTACCCCTGCCTGTGCAACCCCTAAAAAGGCCTAAATTTATAAGGAGTTGGGTGAGGATATTGACAATTAGTCAATTAGGAATGCATAGGCGAAACACATGGCTATCAAGGCAAACTTCTCACACCAGAGGAGGACTACAAGAGAGCAGGAGGAAAGTTTTTTTTGTTTTTTTTTTTTTTTTTTTTTTTTTATATATAGATTAGGATCAGCTCATAAATGTTGGTTACAATAAGAGCTAAATAAGCGTCACAGTAATATGGATAGAGCTAAAGATTTTAAAAGCAGCATAGAGTACCAGTAAGAACATTGATGGTAATGAATCGGCTTCAGTTAGAGGTGGATTTTTTTTGAAGCTGCACAGATTAAAAAAAAATATATAGATTTGCAATAAAAAGTAAAAAAAAAAAAAAAATCCAGCCCTGAAGATTCGTTTTTCTGAGCACTGTCATGGATAGAATGTCTTCAGTATGAACGGTCTTATCAAATGTTCGACTGCAGATATCTTCACTCTGCTGTCGTATGAATATGTCCCATGAGGGATTCCAGAGCTTGCCTTGTACCATTAAATGCATTTTCCTTCCCATCTAGTCTGAAAAAGGAGGAGCCTTCAAAAGCTTTCAAGGCTTGGTACCATCTGCAGCATCATTTACTGGATTTGGAAATGCAGCTAAACCACTTCAAGGTCTGACCAATGGAAATGGTGGCACATCCCTGTTTGGAAATTCAAAGGCCGCAACTGAAAGCAAACCTGTTTTTGGTGAGTGTTTGGGTTTTTTTTTTTTTTTTTGCGTGTGTACACATGCTCGTTCCTCACTTCCCATCCCCTGGCACATATTATAGAAGTTAGGGAAAGCCTATACATATCTGTATCCAAGCATCACTACCCTACATAGGTGGTGGAGTGTGCAGTGTATTTTCTCCCCTTGCTCCAGTTTAATGTGGTGATTCATGGAAGTAGGGTAATAAAGCAACAGCTTTTTTTGAGGTTTTGGAAATCAAAGTGAAAACCTCTTATTATTTTCCTATATATTGAATTATCCAGTTAATAAAATAAGTGTACTAATGTACACAGAAGTGGAAACGCACATTTTGCCTTTGTAGTAGGTTTCCAATACCTTAGGCTGTATTTTCTGGATAAAGTCAGAAACAACCACTCCCCATCAGTCCCTGCCCTTTTTAGGACCCTTTCACACTTGTGGACCTTTTTGTCTGTTTTTCATTTCTTTGTTGACAGATGAAAAACAGACCTCAGTGCATCTTTGGAAAAACAAATGTAAAGGGATGATCATTTACATCCGTCCATCTGTTTTTTAAATGGATCAGAGCCCTATTTTTGTTCTGTTTTTAAAAAAACTGAACTGAAGATAAACAGATGTAAGTGGACATTTTTTTTTTTTTTTTTGTATCCGTTTTTGCATTGGTGGTTAGGAGCCAGCACCCGCCAGTGTCCTAACAACCAGTGACTCATCTCTGCTGTCAGCAGAAAGTAAGCACAAGAAAAAAAAAAGACTGAATACGGTGGGGGTTGATTAGGTTGTGTGTACTGCAAACGGGAGGGGGGGGGGGCAGAGAAAGGCAGGAGAGGAGCAGTATATACAGACAGGCTCCTTCACTTGTGGTACTGTCAGTGGCGGCTTTAAATGTAATTGCTGGCTGTTTTTTTTTTTTTTTTTTTTTTTTTTTTTTTGAAGGAGCTGTCATTTGGCCCCACAGCTGCAATAAACAAACGGGTGGGGTCAAAAGGTAATGTCACTGGGTGACCCCTGCTCCCTTGCTTACTTTACCAGTGGGGCAAATGACAGCTCCTTATCGGCACTATAAAATAAAGGAAAAGAAAACCCTACAATTACATTTAAAGCCGGAAATGACAGCACTGGCAAATGAGGGAGCCTGTCTATCCCTCACTGTATACACTGTTCCTCTCTTCTCCTGCCCCCCCCCCCCCCCCCCCCCCCCCCCCCAATAAAAGGACCTGTCACTTATATGCCATCACATAGGGGACTATTGGTCCCCTATGTGATAGCAATGAAATCATAAGTTTAAAAAAAAAAAAAAAAAAAAAATTTAAAAGAAACAAAATTGGAGCCTCCCCACAATGGCAGTTGTGCTACACGTTGCATATCACCACACACGCCAGAGTGAGATCAATAATTTTAGCACCAGAGCTTATGGGTAATGCTAAACTGATGACCTGTGGGGGCTTTTAAAGCATCACCTATGGAAAATATAGGGTATTGACGTTTTTTTTTTGCTGTTTCATGGTGCACGAAATTTTAATGCTTGACATGTTTCGTATCTATTCACTCGGTGCAACTTCATCTTTTATATATTACCAAAAAATTGGGTAAATGATTGTGTTTGTGTGCCCTAAAATTAACTTTAGTATATTTTCTACTGAAATGTGCTAATATCATGTGACATAAAGAATTGGAACTACTGCAAATTTATTCTATAGTCGTCCACTTTCAGAAAATATATAATGTTTGGGGGTTTTAAGTAATCTTCAGGCCTAAAATTATTTTTTAATCATGTAAACCAAAAATTCCATTGGCTCTGGGACTAAGTGGATGGGGAAAAAAACTGATGTAAACTGATCAGTTTTTTTTTTTTTCTTTGAAAAAACACGACTGAACTGGTGAAACAAATGGTAAGTGTGAAAAGGGCCTAAAAAGTGCAGTTTGCCTGGCTGCTGAACTGATTTGAAGGCTTTGATATTTTGAGTCGCTGACCTGAAACAAGCGGATTTGAAATTCACAGCACTGTGCTTGCTTGGGTCAATGACTCAGGATTTTTTTCGGAGAGAGAGGTAGGAAACTAGCATTTTCAGCATGAGCTCAACGGCAGTAGCCCCTGTATTAACCTCATCACAGGTTTCCTTTGGTGCACAAGTCAGGCATGCAAACTTAAGTGAAATTTTAGTCAGAAAATTAGTTCCTGATAGATCACTTCATGCTGGACCCTTTTGCAGGTGTAGCTATGTAAAACATTAAAGTGGTTGTAAAGTCTGAATGTTTTTTACCTTCGTCCATCCTATGCATGAAGGTTAAAAAAAAAAAACAAAAAAAAAAAACTATGCAGCTTTCCACCTGGCCCCCCCAATACTTACCTGAGCCCAATCCTGATCCATCGATATGCAGGAGAACGGCTGCTGTCTCTGCTCTGTGGGAGCCATTGGCTCAGGCTGCTCGGCAGGTCTTGGTAGGGCTTGGTAGCGTGTCCACACAAGTACCCTCTCGCCTTCCCCAGCAACCGGCAGGGAACCCAAGAAGTGGAGGATCTGGGCTGCTCTGCACAAAACCATTGCTAAGAGCAGGTAAGTACTACATGTTTGTTGTTTTTTTTTTTTTTTTTTTTTTTTTTTTTTTTTTAAAAATCACTTTAAATGGGAAGTTCTGCGGGGGGGGGGGGGGGGGGGGGGGGGGGGGTAATTGCAAGTACCAGAATTTTCCATGTACCCTCTCCCACTTCTGGTGCAATTGCCTAAGGTAATCGGAAGTGGAAATTGTCCTCCCTCCTCGTAGTCTTCTGGGACATGACAGATCCCAGAAGACTACGGGACCATTCACAAAGCAGAGTGCTACTCGTGCATCCGCAGTGGGCACTCGGCTGTGAAGCCGCAAGCTGTCTCAACCAGGTGCCCACACTGAATTTGCTGGGGACAGAAGATGGCTGGTGAAACCAGCCGTGGTGAGGACACTGCTGGACTGAGGGACAGGTAAGGTATTTTAAGTCAGTAGTTACAGTTTTCATAACTCCTGACTTTTATTTGTTTATTTATTCAACTGGAACTCCGCTTTAAAGTGCCTGTACTGCTTAAAATCCAGTAAGGTGCTGTCTCATCTTGGAGTGGGGAGGTGAAGTAACAGGAATGACAGACTACTGAGGACAGGTTAGGTACAAAGAAGAGAAATGCAGAAGTGACAGTACAAATTCTGCTACTTACAAGTATAGTGTCTTATCTTACTTCCTTGGTTCTCTCTCCTTTCTGCCTAGGCAGGGGCAGCTCTGTGAACTTCAGCAATGTATTTTCTGCAGTCTTTCCCTCTAGCTGAGCCAAGATTAAAATAAAGGATGGAATTGCACACATTTTAATTAGAATTTTTGAGACTAAAGCTGGCCAGAGACGAGTGCAGTTTGTTTTTTTGTTTTTTTCATTCAGCCAGTAGATTGAACGAAAAAAACTGACCTGATATCCCCATCCACACATTTGCATTGGATGGGGGAATACTCGCGGCTCTGTCTTTGTATTTTGACAACGAGGAGACTTCCCTGCCTTCAGAATCTGCTGATCGAGCAGTACATTTCAAATGAGGGTGTTCAACAGAAGTCGATCAGTAGATCAACTTCTGTTCAACAACAGTGGCCATACATGGCCAACACTGGCCATACATCGAAATTTGGCCGGTCACTGCAGAACTGGCTGGATTTCAGTCTTTGTATGGCCAGCATAAGGAAAAGGGGAGAGCTCTGTAAGGAAGTGACTGCTCTCGGCTTCAGCAAAACGGCGGCCTCCGGCAAGAAGAAACAGCAGCAATGCTGGAGGTAATTTACAGCACACACTAATTTTGATAGCATACTTATTAATGTGGAACATACAATATGTTCTTTTTGTTAAAGAATATTAATTATCTAACTTTTATGGTAAAGTTCTGCTTTAAACTCCTCCTTAGTTTTACCTGCCAAAAGTGAAACTAATCTCTTGCGCTCTAAACAAATTTGCCATACCACACTTGTGTGACACTTATTTCCTAGTTCAGCACTGCAACTTCATTTTGTCACCTGTATACATCCTGCCTTTTCGCAGGTTAGTGAATTCATTTCATCCAAGAGACAGGCTTCTGCAAACCAAGTTTGTTTCATTGTTGGGAAAGGGAAGCCCCTGCCATTGCACCCTCCATTTTATTATGAAACCCTTTCTGATCAGTGTCAAACACAAGTACCGTTTATTTTGTGCAGTTCATATGAGGGTCAGTGTTGGATGCAAAAGACAACCTGTCGTTGGTGATTTTCGAAAATGCTAGTTGCTTAATTGTTTTGCTCTTCATGCTTCAGTATATGAAACAAGCTTGCAGTGAAAGACTTCTGGCTTTTTTTCTGAGTCAAAATACTGGAGCCAGTGAGTCTGTAGAAGGTTATTAATTTGCCTTTGTTGTTCTATGACCGGTATACTTTGTTCTTGGATCCGCTTTTACCTCTTACGCAAATTAGAACATTGCTTTGAACTAATATTCATTTTGTTAATTTATTTTCAGGGTCTTTCTTTGCAAATGGCCCACCAACGTCCTTGTCCTCAACGATAGAAGTAGCTTCCACCACCGCAAAAACAAACGGTGAAACGCCTTCATCTACCTCTAGTCCTGCCCCAATCAAGCCTGGCAGCTCCAGTGATTACAACAAACAGTTAATGTCCCTGAATTGCGCTGTACGGGATTGGATAGTGAAACATGTGAACGCCACACCATTGTGTGACCTGACCCCAATTTTTAGAGACTATGAGAAACATTTGGCTAGTATTGAACAGAAGTACGGAACCAGCACAGACAGCGGATCCGAAAGTGACAGCACTTCCAAATCAACCCCCTCCATTTCCACCCTTGTTTCTTCAAAAACAGAGGCCAAGCCAACCTTCTCTTTTGCAACCAAAGAAGAGAAGTCAGACCAGCCAGCAAAGTCTAAAACTGAGACGAAAACTGAATCGGCTTCCCTTTTTTCCTTTAGCCAAAAGTCTGACACTGCAAATTTCAATTCGTTCGGTTCTGGGTCTGCAGCCACGTTTTCTTTTAAAGTAGGAGCTGTCAGTCTAAGTAAGGATACAAGTAAGCATAGTGCCGGAACGCCATCATTTTCCTTCCAGTCAGAGACAAGTACCAAGAAAGCGGAAACTGGTAAGAAGGACAATATAGCTAGTGGTCCTCCACTCCAGCCTTAACATGTCATGTTTTTTCTGGGTTTGCCTTAAAGCTGGCTTAGCATTCAATATACAGTATTTTGTTCATGTTGCATGCATACAGGGTAAACAATTTGTAACACTTCACAGTATTTTTTATTCTCATAGAGATCATAACACACCACTCCTGCCTTCATCTGTTTTTCTGCAAAAGAATGGAGCCATCTTAATTTAGGTATCATCCTCGCTCACCATCTACTTCCTGGACTGGGATGCAGGCATATGACAGTTATGTAAATCCTAGTGCAGTGCTCAGTTGTGTTGAGAAATGTTGTCTGGGTTTCCTCTTGCCTTTTACCTTGTATTTTTGCTAAAAAGTTATGGTTCTGCCCGATAGGGTTATGTTGTAGGTAATTAAGGTGGGGGTGATCTGTCATAGGTGACCCGTTATAAAATTTAGAGGCTTTAGACAGCCTTGAAGTGGGGGAAGATGACCTGAATGATGAGACTGATGTGAGCAAAATTGTTTTGTAATCAAAGGGGGGGAGTTTGACAGCAGTTGTGTGAATACACATCAGCCACTTACCTTGCACAGCTCAGTACTTTTGTCTGTGTAAGTAGGAAGGGGAAATGAGAGAAGCTCAATTGACAGGTTTTGTAAGCAATTCAGTCAACTTCACCAGAGAGTGGTTGACTGGGTCAAGGGTCAGCAACAGACTTGGTATTTTCTGGACGGAGTGGAAAACCACCAGTTTAGGTTCAGGTGCTTTATCATCTCATGCCTAATATATCTAACTAGAAGTATAGTGCTGAAAGTTTCCTAATGAGTAATATTTTGCTACAGTTTGTTTATAGGTTCTATCAAAAGCTGGGAATGGGTTTTTTGTTTTTTTACATTTTGGCCAGTGCAATTCCCTAAAATTGTCCTTTATGCTTTGCAATCGTGCAGTATTGTTGGCAGCAGATCACGAGAGTTAATCTTAAATTATCCGAAAAGACAAACCCAACAATTTTTCTCATACGATACCAGATCGTATTATTTTCATTTTGATCAGTACAGTTTTTGTACGAAAATACAATACAATACATTACATCTCTTCCAAAATTCTATTCTGTCGTACGAGAATTTTCGTAAGTTGAGTAACCTCTTCATTTTTGATATGAGACTAGCATGCAAAAATAACAGATGAACATTCATGTGATAATCTCATTGTGTGTACCAGGCTTTAGGGTGGTTAATGCCAGTTTGGTGATTTTCATGTGCAGTTCAGATTTGGCTAGTAATGGGATGGTAGCAGGATTGCAGGCTCTTGTAGATATTGTGACCCTATCTTATCCATGCTTCCTGCACCACCGGGATATATTTTTTTTAAACCTGGCTTGCAGAGGATATTTGAATACCTTGCTGGGGGATGAAACAATCACTCTTTGCTATCTTCCCCCAGCCCCCCATATTCATGGCCATATTTGCTCCCACCAGTGTAACATGGAATATAGCAAAACTGTTTATCCTTTACCTGCAAAGCTCTATTCCAACTACTGCTAGCCATGCTAAGGTTTCTTTTTTGTCCTCTCTGAGCCTTAGAGATTTTATTTTTAATTTTTTTTACTTTCTAATTTCTAGGTGGTGGAGAGGAGGAAGAGGCAGAAGAACCACCAAAAGTAGTTGTACAAGAAGTCAAAGAAGATGATGCTTTCTATTCCAAGAAGTGAGTTGACTTGCCATTCCATGTCTTTTTCTTCATTCAGTAATCCTGCAAATGGGCAGCAATGTGCAATCCCCACAGCCAATTCTCTTCAGTTTTTTTTAAAGGATAAGTTCACTTTTCAAAAAAAAAAAAAAAAAGCCCCTTTTTTTTTTTTTTGCTGTTAAAGTGTGTGTGTGTGTGTGTGTTTCTTTGTTTTTTTTTTTTTTGTTTTTTTTTGGTTTTTGGAAAGCATTGCACCAGCGATCAGCAGATTGCTGGTGCTATGCAGGACTCCTGCAGACTGTCAGTGCAGTGTATCTGTGTGCCTGTACAGCCAAGCAGATACAGTCTGACAGGAATACCTCTGAACTACCACAGTGCACCACAGCGCCGTGGTAGTTCATTGAGAACTATAAGCCGAAAGCCACAAAGGCTGTTGGACTTGTAGTTCATTCATTCACAAAACTCTGTGAATGAATGACGTGGCCGTGTGGGTGAAGCCCTGCACGGCTGCGCTGTTTTCAAAAAGTGATAGCAGTACAGGGAGAAATTCCCCGTACTAGCTATCACATGTAGGGGGGGGGATCGGGCAGTGATGGGAACAGGTTACATGTTCACTCCTAAAAATAAAAATGGGTAGAACATGTAACATGTTCCCAAAGATGAACTTCTTCTTTAAAGTGCTGGCTTGTAGGTTATGGTAATCAGGGCCAAAAAGCCACCCACTGAACTAGTTCATGATGGAAGTGAAAAACGAAGATACTTTCTGTTCTTTGAATGCTCAGTTGAGCTTTGCACTGGTTCAGCAGAGACCTTTTTTTTTTTTTTTTTTTTTTGGTACTTTTTTTGACCCGTGTCCCCATAGCCTTGCAGGGGGTATAGTTTGTTGTTGCTCCCCAAACACTACTGTATAGAAACAATGGTGCCTACGCACTGCACTGATGATGGTCAACAAGCCCAAAACTGCTTTATGCTTTAAAATATGACCTCTATCTTTGCTGTAAATCAGCTGTCCTAGATGTACAGTTGATTCAAGGGAAAGAGAATTATTTGCATTGCTCCACCCACTGTCCTTAAATGAGGGATAAACTTCCTCTTTTTCGTATTTGTGATGTTTTTAAGAAAGTGTCATTGTGCTTTGTACGAGCAGTTGAATCTGTTACAAAAGAAATACCTATGTTGGCAATTCCTTTTCCTTCTTAACATTTTATTTTGTCGTGTCATTTTTTTCTCACTAATTTATTGCGTATGCGGCTGGTAGGTTGAGAACACTCAAACTGCATATTTTTTGCAGGGACTCTAAAGAATGAATCTAGATAATTAGCTTGACAGCTAATGGAAATTGGAATCTTCAGAAGAGGAAACTGAAATGTCAGCATAGATGTTTATCTCATGATAGGCACTGAGCAGCAGCTCCAGCTCAGTAGCAATAATATTGCTGCGTAAAGTCCAGCTCTGGGCAAAGCAAGAACCCCTCTTCCAGTCCCCTCTGGCTTTCTATCGGATTGCCTCTTTGTTATACATCTGGTGGGGTCCTTGTTCAGGTGTCTGCCACTGCCTGCCAGCCAGGCAAATGACCGGGACAGCCGACTTGATGAGTATACCTTGCTTCACAAGGAAAAAAGAAATGCATACAGACTGGGTTGGAGGTGGGTGGGAAAGGGTTCATGTTTTGATCAGAGTTGGGATTTACGCACAAATACATCAAGGTGGCTACACTTTGTGATATTTCAGAATCCTATTTTAAGACTTTTTTTTTTTTTTTTTTTTTTTTTATTTTTTTTAAGAGCACCCCAAGTTCTGGCAGAAAGTGAAATACTGACCTAGCCCTTTCTGCTCCATATTATTGGTCATTGAGGCTTTTCATTGCAGCAAGAGGCTAGTTGTGGGGTTTCAGAGGGTAGGAATAATCTCACCGGGAGACTGGGGACTTGGCAGGTCTTTTTTGTTAATCTGTAATTTTACACATACGTCTCTTGTTTTTATATGCATGCTGTGCCTTGCCTAATACAGCACAGGTATTGTCGTTTATCACTTCTCCTGTGTCGGTGCAGGTAGAGTGGGTAAAATAATTAATTGATCCCCTGTAGATTTTGTAACTTTGCCCTCTTACAAAAAAATTAGGAGTCTATATTTTTTTTTTTCACAGGTACATTTTAAATGATAGAGACAGAATATCAACCAGAAATCCAGAAAAAAAACACACAATACAAATGTTCTAAATTGAATTGCAGTTCAGTGAGTAAAATAAGTATTTGATCCCCTACCAACCATTAATAAGTCTGGCTCTCACGGATTGGCTATGTGCTCATGTAATACACAAATTAGTCCTGCCAATTTAACTTGTTTAGTGTGTAAAAGACCCCTGTCCAGAGAATCTTTCTTCCATTCAAACCTCCCCATCATAGGCAAAAGAGCTGTCAAAGTATGTCAGGAACAAGATTGTAGACCTGCACAAGGCTGGAATGGCCTACAAAACCATCAGCAAGAAGCTTGGTAAGAAGGAGACAGCTGTTGGAGCGATTATTCAGAAAAGGAAGAAATACAAAATAACCATCAATTTCCCTCGGTCTGGAGATCCATGCAAGATTTCGCCTCATGGGATAAGGATGATCATGAGAAAAGTGAGGGATCAGCCCAGAACTACACAGGAGGAGCTTGTGAATGATCTCAAGGCAGTTGGGACCACAGTCGCCAAACAAACCATTGGTAACACAATACGCCACCATAGATTGAAATCCTGCAGCGCTCACAAGAACACCATCCCTACAGTCAAGCACGGAGGTGGAAACATTATGCTTTGGGGCTGTTTCTGCTAAAGGTACAGGTCGACTTTGCCACATTGAAGGGGCCAGTGGACAAGGGCCGTGTATTGTAAAATCTTGGATGAGAACCTTCTTCTCTCAGCCAGAAAACGGAAGATGGGTCTGTCGATGGGTCTTTCATCATGACAATGACCCAAAACATACCGTCAAGGCAACAAAGCAGTGGCTCAAGAAGAAGCACGTTAATGGAGTGGCCTAGCTGGTCTCCAGACTTTATTCATATAGAAAATTTATGGAAGGAGCTGAAACTTCGAGTTGCCAAGTGACAGCCAATAAACCTTAAGGATTTAGAGAAAATCTGTAAGAGCAGACCAAAATCCCTCCTGAGATATGTGCAAACCTGGTAAGCAACTACAAGAAACAACTTGCCTCTGTGCTTGCTAACAAGGGTTTCTCCACAAAGTATTAAGTCATGTTTTGCTTGGAGATCAATTTATAATTTTTTTTTTTTTTTACTCCCTGAAGTGCAACTCCATTTATAACATTTGCATCGTGTGATTTTTCTGGATTTTTGGTTGATATTCTGCCTGTATATCATTTAAAATACACCGATGATAAAAATTATAAATTTGCAGGTGAACAAATATTTTTCCCAATGTATGTTAGCTCAGCCTTTGTAGCCCTTATAATTGTTGCTACTGCTTGAGGCATTTAGCAAATGGGCTAATTGGAAATGAGATGCATAAAGATATCCAGTACAGACAGAAGCTACATATCTGTACAATGTTTGCTGTATTGTCCTGTGGTTAGTGCTGAGTTTTCCATGGTAATGTGTACCGCAGTGCTGGAGGCAGATCATGCTATATTTTGTTATATTGCATCATTGTACATTAACCATCACTCTGCAAAGGACTTTGTTTTATGATAATGTAACTGCTTGCCAAAAAGAGGGATCGGTCTTCCAGAAGTTGTATTTTTTTTTTTTTTTTTGTCAGGTGCAAGCTCTTCTATAAGAGAGACAACGAATTTAAAGAAAAGGGTGTTGGCACACTTCACCTAAAACCAGTAAAAGACCAGAAAACCCAGCTGCTGATTCGTGCTGATACAAACCTTGGTGGGTAACCTCAAGCTTCATTTTTTTTCATCGTCATGTCACAGTGGGATATCCTGTGCATCACCAAATCATTAGACACTTTGTCTATCTAAGCCTTAAAGTGATATTAAGAGCAATAAAAACAAACATGCCATACTTACCTGCTCTGTGCAGTGGTTTTGCACAGAGCAGCCCTGATTCTCCTCTTGGGTCCTCCTGGGCCCTCCCCCCTGCCTAGTGCCCCCAGAGCAAGCAGCTTGCTATGGGGGCATCCAAGCAGGCTGGCTCCCAAGCTGCTGCTCTGTGTGTCTATTCACACACAGAGCCACAGCTCCGCCCCACCCCCTCTCTCTCCTCATTGGCTTACTGCCTGTGATTGACAGCAGCGGGAGCCAGTGGCTCAGCCAATGAGGTGGGAGAGTTCCCTGGATTGCAATAGGGCTCAGGTAAGTATTGGGGGGTGCACTGCTGCACACACTATAAATGCACACAATACATAGAATGCATGAAGGTAATAAACCTTGAGCCTTTGCAACCACATTTACCACCATGGGGATTCACTGACCAGGTGGGCAGGCATGCAAGCCGTGCTCTAGGCTGTTTGCAACCAATGACTGGTTAAATCGGGAACCTGTCCACAGAATGCAGCAGAACTAAAGATGGGCAAAAAACACAGCCACAAGCCAGTGGCGTCCAGTCACAGAAACTGGAAAGAAGAAATTGACCATTAAGGGACCTGCTTAAGGGGGAGCAGGGTAAAACCAGACTAGGACATACCTTACTAATAACATTTTATTTCTTCTGGCTGGAGGTCAGGTTTAAGGGAAAAGTAACAGGTTCTAGTAAACTCCCCAACGTCTGATGGTAACCTTTCCCATGCCTCTCTATCAGAGGTTGCAGCCCAAACCATCACTGGAGTGCATGTAGATAAATGGCTGTTTGTATCAGTGTTGCTGATCTCCTGCAAAGCAGGAAGAAAAGGATTTTATTGGGGAAAAATGACAGATGTTTAAAATAAAGTTCTATTGCAATTTTAAATATTCATTTAGGCTTTACACTACTTTAAGCCTTTCTGGGGGTGTTGGAGACCTAAAAAATAGTATGTTCTCATGTCAGGAATATTCTGAATGAATAACCCTCTTCTTATTTACCTTAGGCAACATCCTACTGAACATTTTGGTGCAGCCTTCTATGCCGTGCTCTAGAACAGGAAAAAACAATGTGATGATAGTTTGTGTTCCTAACCCTCCTATCGATGAGAAGAACCCTACCATCCCTGTCACTATGCTGATCAGAGTGAAAACCACAGAGGATGCTGATGAGCTGCACAAACTTCTCCTGGAGAAGAAGGGAGCCTAAATATCTAGGCCTTCACAGAATTACCTTCCTTGCCAATCTGCTGCTCAATATCGAACTCAAAAGGTCACCATGTATTATCGTTTCTGTTGACCCTCATAACTTCATAAGAGTGTTTTTCATAAGTTTTTGTTAAGAATGGAGTCAATTGGTAATAAAAGCTTTAAAGAAAGTTTAGTATGTAGAATGGAAGGTGAAGATTCCTGACACAGATACGATTGATCTTATTGTCAGTCAAAGCCTTAGCTGGTCTTCATTCAAGATCCTTCAGTGTTTACAGTGTGATGATCGGGGCCTTAATTCGCATTCCTTTTCTTTTAGCTCCAGATTTCCTAATTTTTGCTCGGTTACCAGCCACCATCATAGGATTAGCAGAGTCTTTAAGCTGTCTGTACTTTGTTGGAAAAGTATCATCTCTATACCTCTGCAGCACTGCTTTTTCTGTACTGATGTCTAATCTGTCCCTTGTAACAGATCATCCACAGACTGATCCAGTCAGGATGTGGGCCTTTAAAACATGGCAGCTGAAGTCAATAAAGCAGAAGCTTCTTTAGTATGAAGGGTCATTCCATCAAGCATTTATATTTTTTATATATTTTTAAGAAAAACATTAAAAATAAAATATAAATGCTTGATGACATGCTGGCCTTTCATAGGGTTTCACTGGTGATGTTTCCTTGTTGGTAATTTCATCTCTGTTGCTGTTTGGAACCTCAATCAGCATTTGCAGCAAGTAATATAACCTCTGTACAGAGGAGAACATTACCATACCTGCTTAACTCCCCTCTTCCCAATAGTCTGATAAAAATTTTATTTTTGGGGTATAATTGATCCCTCCTACGTGCCTCACACTATTCAAAAGAAGTTGAGCTCTGTCATTGTGGTTGGAAAAGCGGGGTTGTTTGACATTTGCACAGCAGAACCTTAGAAGCAAATTTGTGTGGTGAACTGCAGGAGGAAAGTACAAGAAGATGTCTTACGATACCAGCTTTACAGCAGTTATAATAGCTCTGAACTGAACAAACGTGTATTTTTTTCTTTTACCTGCCAGAGGGTTTTTGTAATCCTGTTTAGGATTTGTGATTTACACACATCAGAGATCTTGCATAACCTAGATAAAGACCCCTCTCAACTTTCAGCCAGCTAATTGGACAACAGATCATAGCAATAGTTGTAAATATAGATCATAACAGCTGTAAAATGGAACCAAAAATAGGGAATCATGGCTGTGCAGAGATGTGTGCCAAGGCATATACACCCATCTTTGTTGCTTCCAACACCTTCATCAGAGCCCTTGCTGTACAGAAACTGGGTTTCTGGGTATGGGGGAGAATGTGACTACCCTTCCCCCTTCATCCCTTCCCTTATGGGCTTGGGCCTGAGTGACCAATCACCAGGTCAAACCCTATTACACAGGAGTGCCAGTAAGACACTGGTAAGCGCGGACACTGGTGCTTACTCGGGGTAAATTTCTGCCACAACGGGAAAGTGAGTATACGTTGTGGTGGAGGGAGGTGGGGTTTGTTCCAGACTCCCAAGTTTTAATGGCATGGATACTTGAGTGTAATATGAACATGTTACACTATTAGGCCTAACAGAGTATAAACATTGACTTTTGAGCTGTTCCACCAACTCCCCTTTTTTTAATTTTTGTTTTTAGTAATGGCTAAGGAATATTTCAGTTTTTGTGCTGTTAACAGACAGGATATACAGATTCTGCTGCACGCAAGGGCTAACCTACTCCAGACTGTTATCCTGGTTGTCATGGGATGAAGAGGAAGTGAGCCCAGCACAAGATGGGTCTGCGGTTATCTGAGACGGAATTCCCCTGAAGAATTACATTTGCTTCTACCTTTTTGACATGAATGTCACTGTGATATCACCTTTTTGCTTTGTATTTGGACTGCTGGGCAGATGGGCCTGTCTGGTGTTACTGTTCAAATTGGGATTCCAAAATCTGCCCACAGTTGCTTTTAGTCACTGCTTTATTTGAAGAATTTCATGGGTGACAGGCTCTCAAAGTGACAGGTTGTCATGTTTTATAATAATAAAAAGAAAAAAAATTCTCTAAACCCCTTTCCCTTCTTACCATCCAGTAACATCCTTCATTCACAGCGGAGATACAGTTTGCAATAGGTCATGCTAGTGCACTTCCTGAGATCTTTTACAATAAATTCTTAGTGGGAGGTTTTGCCTTTACCACACCCAGCCCAATTATGCAATTAACTTCCTAGGTATTCCCTTAGATTGGCGCCTCTTGAAAACCTTGTGCTGCTAGAGGTTTGGGATGCCATATAAACAGGCTGTCTGTAATATAGCACCAAGCTCTATGCATATTTCTTGGCCAGTAAAAGGAGAGCATGCCATGGTGGCAAGAAAATAATTTTTTTTTCATTTCCTTTAAAGCGAACCTGTCATGAAGAGCTCCAATTTAAAGGCAGCCTGTAAAAGGAGTTGTATTCTTACCTTTCCAGGATCCCGTGTTTTAAAAGTCATCCATATTGCAAATTTTTAAGCCTGCTGCAGGTATCTGACACTGACACCATCTGTAATGTCTTTTTTAAAGGATAAGTTCACCTTTCATTACATGTTACACCGATATTCATTGTTATTGCAATGGTTTACAGGCTCCTGCAAAAAAAAAAAGTGAATTTATTATCTTCTAGCAAAGGGTGAACTTACCCTTTAGCCCTGGTTCACATATGTATGTTCCTGCGGTCCATGTTTTGCGAGGACTCGAGAGCCCATTCATTTTAATGGACTCCCATGCCCTGGTACACGCAGGGAAGAAGTCCCTGCACTTCTGAAACCGCAGCCCGCACAGGAGCCTCGGTTCCCAGCCTGGTTGCGATTTCCATTGCGGGCGGCGTGCCATTAGAATTAATGGCACCTGCTCATGGATCCACATTCTTCTTCTGTGCGGGTTGTGTGGTTGCACGGATCCGGAGCAGCACCACCTGCACATATGTGAACCTAGCCTTAGTGTAGAAGATGGAAGGAGGAACAATAGCCTGCTTTAGGGGAGCACGTATCCAACACACCTGTGTCAGACAATCATCAGGGACTGGAGATCATCGATAAATCTGGGCTTTAATACCTGGAAAGGTAATTATACAGTACGTCTACTTCTTTTACAGACTGTTTACTTCAGCACTCTTTGTGACAGGTTCACTTTAAACTACAAACTAGCATGCAAAATTAGTTGTATTGTTTCAGTGGATCAAGTTTTCAGCCAGCTGCTATAGAATGAATTCCCATCAAGTGAACTAAAGCTGCTTTGCCTTTGTGAATATTTTTAAGTGGCGCTTGAGCTGAAATTTTTATTTGGTTAGAGTGGTGCAGGGTCAGAATCTTTCACATTTGTGTTCTGTACCTTTTTGGGGAGATAAACCCCATAAGGAGAAATCTCACTTGACAGTTGTCACTCAGAACAGAGAACACAGAAAAGGAGGGGAAATCTCAGAAAAGGAACAGGTTTGCTAGTAACTGCCAAAATGTGAGATTTCCTGCACTTGCTTTGCCAGGACAGAGAGTAAAGAATAATCTCCCCAATGGGGATGCAAACAATAAAAAGCTGACCGATTCTAGCCCTTCCTTTTAAAGCTCGACGTCGGGCAAACGGCTAAATAAACAGAAGAAATTCATATATAAGAACTGGTTTATTTAAGTTTCTGCCCACCCAGTCCAAAGATTTACACAACTCCTGCCACACAGTTTTGTCTGGCTGGCAGGGCAGAAGACCTGATTTTAATCTGCTACAGTTAAGCAACACTTGTCCCTCCCACAGCCTGTGTCTGGACTTGAACATAGAAGCAACACACTGATCAGCTCATCTGGCACTCTGCTCTCTCCTCCTATTTGCATGCTTCTTGTTAGCATATGACTGAGTACTTAAGCATGACTGATTGGCTCACTGTGCTGCTTCTACCTCTCTCAATCTCAGTTCTGTACTGGGGCTACAAGACTCTTATACCAAGTAGCATTTGGGTACTTGCACTGCTTAGATTTATAAAATACATGTAATAATGTATTAAAGCCACATCTACTCCCCACCTTTCCAGCAGTCTTTGGCCAGTGTGGGGTGATGTAACTTCTGCGCATGTGTCTAAGCACACTGGCACCGGTTCAAAAATGTTCATTGTACAGAGGACTACAACTTGGCAGGTAGGTTTATTTTATTGCAGAAGAGACTTTACGAATATGTTCTACAGTAAATAGTCTACCTGCCCCCAAGATTTTTAAATCTGACTTTAGTTCAGCTTTAATGATTACATAGCTATATTCATTTTTTATTTTATATCTGCCTAGCATCCATATTTAATTTGATAGAGGTTCTAGCCTTTCCTCAATCTTAATCTAAACAGTTTTGCTGGATTTCTGCTTCATTTCCTATCTGCTGTACCCCAGAGGCACTTGTGAAGAATTGCTCACTTTTGTATTCTGAATGGTCAGACTTTAAAATTGTCTTACAATGTTATTTCTGCACTTTACAATAATCCTGTGAATCATGCTGTAGAATAATCTATTCCTGTAATGATTTGCAAAGACTGTTTCTTTCTCTTATGATCACTGTACATTTGACTGGTTGGTTTGTGTGGATACTTGACAAAATTGTCTCTGAGAGCGTTGAAAAGGAATAAAGTAAAGTATGTTACTTTTGAAAGAGCGGTTTCCTGTCTTTCTTTGTAAATGGTGACTAGATTACTGATGCTCTTCACTGCTGCATATTATGGCTAAATCAGTAGAAGAATGATTCTCGTTTTCCAAATAGTTATTTCTTTGTGATAAACTCTAGGATACAGGGTATCTTCATCTCCATTACCATAGGGAGATGCTGCCCCCTTCAGACGACTGGAGATTTGCCTAAAAGTGAGGCGATTTTCTTTTTTTTTTTTTTTTAGTTAATGTTTTAATGATTGTGATCTTTGTGCAGTTAGCTAGATTCTCAACCATTTCAGAGACTAGCTTTTTTCCATACCCGTTTTTAATATGACTTTTCTATG